TAGGCTAGATATCAGGAGGCGCTACTTCACGGTCAGGGCAGCTAGGATCTGGAACCAACTTCCAAGAGAAGCGGTGCTGGCTCCTACCCTGGGGGTCTTTAAGAGGAGGCTTGATGCCTACCTAGCTGGGGTTGTTTGACCCCAGTACTCTTTCCTGCCATGGCAGGGGGTCGGACTAAATGATCTACTCAGGTCCCTTCTGACCCTAGAACCTAGGGAACTATGGAGAGTCCAAATTCATTATGTGAATAGGTTTCTTCTTTCTCATTTTTTGGACAGCTACAAAGAATTCCAATCACTGGCAAAGTGCCTTTACCTGGTCTGTTCCACACAGCTCAGTCATCTTTAAGTGTAAATAGTTTATACAGTACAAGGCTCCCTATAAGTTAAAAGGTATTCAAGCCTAGAGTCTTTTCTTTAAAATCAGATTACATACCTAGAGGTCCTTTTGCAGGCTCTACTAGTAAGCAACTAATATTGTGGTTGTAATGTGTATCAGTGCCAGGCAGTATTAGAAACTGTACAAATAGGAAGAAACAGTCCCTGCCCTGAAGAGCTTACAAATCTAAGAATAATTGCAATTTAAATTCAATTTAAATTGTCAGTTTATTACTGACAATCTGCTCTGCAAACCTAAAATGCCCTAATCGCCAAGGAAAGCTCCACCCAGCTGTCAATTTTTCCTTTCTATTTCTTAATTTGAATGACACCCTTTTGGCTAGAGCAGAGAGGGAGTAAACAAAGTATTTAAGCCAAGGAGCATGGAAGCACAAGAATACATAGGCATAAATGGAACATAAATAAATTTAGGCTGGAAAAGAGGTGGTGATTTCTAACCAGTGGATTAGTGTTTGGAATGGACTTCCACTAAGCATAGTGGGAAAAAAAAACTTGGAGCTTGACCAGTTCTGAAGAGGGCCCATATGATGTGGTCTCCTGTGATAGCAGGAGACTGGATTCAAGGACTCAGGACATTCCTGTCAATCTTATGTTCCTAAATTCTTACAGCCTGACTTGTCAATATATTACTCACTCTTTCCTACTTTGTTCTACCTTTGGAACAAATGCAAAGATGTCAATAAAAGGATCCTTTCCTGTATGACCTGGAACTAGTAAGATTTCATGCAATCACCCTCATTTTCCTAGTCTATATATAAATATTCTGCCTGTAGGAATGAGGCCTTAAATTTCTTCTTATGTCCAGTTGCCAGTTACTGGGACGTCTTGGCAGTTTTTGGATATGAAGTAATAATCCAGGTAGGGTCAGTTCCTTCACTACACTCAGTACAGAAAATAAAAAGTTTTACATTGCTAAAGTTATGTTTTCCAAGCTTCCCTCATAATGATATACAGCAAAATCCCTGTTCTCCAGGACAAGTGGGGAATGGTGGGCGCCGGTAACCTAAAAATGCTGGTTACCTGAGACACTGGGGTTTCCGGTCGCACACTGGGCGGGGCGGGGTGGGGCAGCGGTCGCACACAGAGTGATGCCAGCGCAGGGTGGTGGATGACAGCCGCTGCATGCAAGTCCTCCATCCCCCACCCCCAGCCAGCTAGAATTTCTCTGAAGGAGCCAAGCCCATACAGAAGCTGAACATTCCCTTGGAAATGTCCTTCTTCCAAATGTTGCAGACAACTTTGGATGCTAGTCCATGAAGTGTTTTATTGCTACTTGACACAACTCATCTGCATTTCATTCTATGTGGATCTGTAAGTGCTCTTAATTAAGAAGCAGGCAAAAAATTGGTTCAGAGTACATAGCAACACAGACCATTATGCCTTAAATCTATTATATAAAATTAATTTGTAAAATAAAGGTGGTAGAACAAGCCAAGCTACAAAACAGTCTAGAGAGCAGATGATCCTAAGCCCTGCCACTTTCAGTGATTAAGAAACTCTGAGAATGCCAAGGCTGTAATCTCAATAATACCCATCCATAAAATGAACAGATCAGCAAGAGAGTCCTTGCATTAACTGCATTCTGTTTGGATGAGGATGTGTTTGTAACACTGCAGCACACATCCCAAGAATGGAGATCTACAAAGGAGGATTAGAGAACTCCACTGCACTTGATAAAAACAATTTAACCGAATACCTATAGAACAGATATCAACTGTTATACTTGTTAACTTATCTTATACAGATGGTGAACCTGAAGCACAGAGATTAAAGTAACTTTTCCTACATGTAACAGCACTGGTATCAGAACACAGGAAAATCCCAACTTTTATTGCCAAACCTTTCTTTTTCAGTGTTAAGCAGTTTACAGTTATTTTTTCCTGAGCAAGAGTCCCGTTTCTCTTTCTAGATGAGCTCTGAATACATACCGCATGGCTCTCAGTGCAGTTTTGTATGCCAATTCAGCATCATGAGGTAGGAGAGAGGTGAAGAGATACTTGGCAAATGTGTGCATTGGAACGCTCTCTCGATGGATGATTTCACCTAAACCACTATATGGTCCAGCTGTGTTTGAGAGAGAAAGAGATGGACACTCTTTATAGGCTGGTCAACCCCCCCCCCCCAAAAAAACCCCCCCCCCCCCAAAACCAATGCTTTCTGGATCTTTTAAAAACACTGTTCCAATTATTAATTGTTAAATAAACTGAAAATAAAAAACACTGTCCAACATAAGGGGAAGCTATTCCAATAATCCCAGGGAAAAATATTTACAAATGACTGGGTATATGTTCTTTGGGGAAGATTGATAGCATGTGTGTATTGACTAGTACTGAATGCATTGCTGATGCTAAATAAAAACATAATACAATACAAGGTGCCTTGTACGGCTCAGTGCAGGCATCCCAAATTCCATGGGACAAGGCACTCCTCAATTTATACGCAGAAGACAAAGCAAGGTGGCACTTCATTGAATAATTTTTCAGACAGGCATGAGCTTTTGTTGGCTATAGCATATGAAAGCTGATGCCCTTCTGAATTAGTCTACAAGGTGTGACCCTGGCTTGCCTTCTGCTAACTTCAGATAACCACAGCTAGCTACCTTTCTCTACTCAACATACAGATTGCTGAGAAAATATTTTAGAACAAACATTTACAATGAAAACCTGCAATTTAAGTGAATGTAGTGTAGGAAGCAGCTATCTTACAGAAGATCAACTTGCACACACACATTGTTGGGCCTCCTGATTGCTGAACTCCAACAGTCAGCAACAAGTTGCTGTTGTTCTTCATATTTTGTGTCAATGCCTTTAAGTGCAAAGAAGTATAATCAGGAGAATGGTTCCAAACAAAGCCCAACATCATCATTTTTAATCAAACTAGTTTTGATCACCTGTTTCCCAGCTTGCAAGAGGAGAAGCCTTCTCCATGTGTACTTGTAGATCTCTGCACTGAGCAAGAGGAGTTCTCTACAATTAAGAGTGTTAGGGAAAATTCCTATTTTGCCCGTGTATGTGTGCGTGTGTAACTTACACCCTCTTCCTTTAATACTGCATGGCTCCCTGATTACAGTTGCTTTACGGATTTGTAATGTAGACAGGAAAAGCACAAAGGCCCAGATCCACAAAAATATTTAGGTCCCTTTATACACTTATATTTTTGTGTGTTTGGATCCAGCCCCTGGTGAAAACTATGGCAAATTCCAAACAGAAGTTTTTTTATTGTAGCCCTTAAACAAGGAGGCTTATAATATTTGTGTGCAAAGGGAAAATGATCTCCACTAAGGGCAGAATAGATTCCACTTGGACTTAGCACTACCAACCTGAAGCCAAAACCCATAATATGGGTATAAAAATCACAAGTCAGTTCCACTGCAAGTTAAAAAAAAAAATATAACACTAAGCATGTAAAATCTCAGCTCCAATGGTGAATGGGTCTGAAAACTGCCATATATATATAAAAATAAGTTGAGGAATGGTTAGAAAAATCTGCAGAAACATTTCTAACCATTGCTATCATGTGCCTACTAGCATTTAAAAATAAAAGTTCAACATTATTCATAACCAGCTGGTACTGTTATCTCAGTAACAGAATCCTTTTTACTTTTGCTTCTCAGCACGATGTCCAATTGGATGGCATAGATTACGACATGAGGAATGCATGGCAAGGCAGGAGACTTGCATTTATATTAAAATATGTACTGCCATTTTCAACTTTTCTGTTTAACTTAGCAGTCAAGCAAAAAATTAAAACAGAATGTACGTTGCAAGACATTTCAGTCTTCTGCTTTCCCAAGCATTCAAACGGTAGCTACATACAATGTGCATTACTCTACATTAAATAGCCAAGATCTCATCTTAAGATTGGATAACTAACTTCTTTATTACACCTATGGTACTTTAACTATAAAAGCACAATTGATATGATTAGAATCTTAAAACACTGTAGAGATGCCTTAATGTGAACTGACAGTTTCTGTCTAAATTACTAGGATATGCTAACTCCTTGTATTCAGAATTTCATAACACAATAATAAGGGTCCCTTACCCACTTCTCACTGTAGCAGTTTAATTTTGCTAATTATTGACTAAATTATTGTTTTCAGAAATCTTGAATGGACACAGCAATCAGTGTATATATAGCTTCATTCAAAGAAATGAAAAGGCACCACAGAAAGCTTGAAACGCCATTCTGTCAACAGGGGAATATTCTGACCCTTTCCCCCATGAAGGACCCCTGACATGAAGTAAATGCTTTGGTTCCAATTTTCCTAAGTTTCTGTTTGGCCTTCCTACAGCCTGCAGTACAGATATCATATGCCTGACACAACTCAGCAGACTTGCTTTTTACTGAATCCAGGGGCCATACAGTAGCTTTGAGATGTCACTGCAATGGAGGGAGAAAGAAGAGGAGAGAGAGGATTTATCACACAGCCTCTGCAGAACCAGACAGTATCAATTCTGGCACCTCCAACTAGTCACAAGAATTGTGATTTATTGAATAGATAAAGGCAGGCATAGAATCCAAAATGATGAACTATGTACAGTCTACCATTAAAAATTATTTTAAAACCCCTCATATTCTCTTCTGGATGGTAAGCAAGACTCTCTGCTCCATGGCAGAGAATTTAGCACCCAGATTTAAAACTTCAAAGCTCAACTCTAAGAGCCTTTTCTGCAAATACTGAATACTCACACCATTCCTTTGACTACTCATTTCCTTTGAAGCCCTTCCACTTTCATAAAAACCTAACTTCAAAAACCATACAACTTCTCACTATACAGGTGGTTTATTGCATGTACTATATGTTATGCCTTTCTAAAAAACTGAGGACCTAATCTAGGTACAAGCAAGTAAAAAACTGCCATTGTGTACACTTTTTAGAATAAACTAGGCACAGTGTTTAAAATGCTACACACATGAATTATTTGCCTCTACAAAATTTCAGAGACAAAATTCAGATATTATTTTGAAAACAAGAACCTTAAAATTAGTTGTTTGTATAGATATACATTACAGTATAGGAACTTTTCTCTCAAAACAAGTCATTTTATCACTATTGTTCTCAAAATGTCCATATGCACATAAAAAAACGTTTGTGTACCAGTGAGCTCATATAAATCATTTGAGCCATTTAGTTAGGGGCAATGGTAAAATCTATGTTCATTTTACAAGGCTGTCAGTACTCTATCAGGCTGCAAATGACATTTGGAATCTTTCTACCTGAGAAGAGCTGATAATAATGCTTTTATTATTTAATTATGACCCTGAATTGCATCAGTGGAGCACCATAACCATGACAAACTTCAGATCTGAAGTACAAATATAATAAAAAAGTAAAAAGCAGGGGATCTCTTTATCACTACAATCATGCAGTATTTTAAAATACATTAGATTTAATACTGACACCTGAAGAATTATGTTTTATAAAGAACTATCATACTTGAAAAAACCCTTTAAATTGGTTGGTTAGCCAGTTCTCACAGGAATACTTATTTTTAATTAAATGCAGGTTAAAGAAGCAGTTAGCATCTATTTCAAGCTACCTTCTAATAGGAAGACTGCTTGCTTTCGAAAAATCTTCACCAGTGTATCATCCAATTCAATTTCCTGTAGCTTAGAAATGAGCTGCTCCTCATTTCGACAAACCTTCTCTTGTGCATACAAGCCATCTGGCATTATTCGCTGTTGCCCCAGCCCTATCAACGCTACTTCCACAGCCAGCGTTAGGTAAGATTCCCCTTCTTCTAAGAATTTGTGTGCAGGCAGGTGCTGATACTCCAGAGATTTGAATTGTCCCATGTTCTCTGTAAAAGGTTACAAAAAGAATAGTACATCACAAGACATTATAATGGATAAATCTGCCTGCAATCCTACAATGACAAACATTTCTTTTACCAACCATTTTAATTAAGACGGGGGTTTTTTTGTTTGTTTGTTTTTTAATGAATTGCTATAGTCATGTCAGATAATGTCTCTAAAAGTTGGACCAATATTTTGGTAACATACCTATTCTCAAATATTTTTTAGAGAGACTGAAAATTACAATATCCTATTGTAAATCAGTGGCAACACTCATTTCCACTGATGGAGAAAGCCATGAGGAGAAAAATTCTAATTTAAAAAAAAACTAGATGCCTCCATCGTTGAGGGAAAAACAAAACAAAAAATCCATAAACATGGAAACCCATTAAAGTTGTACCCATTAAACAATTTCCAGAAAGGAGAACTCAGGGAAGGAAGGAAGGAAGGAAGGAGTGTTTTCAAACTTAAGTCATAAAAGAAATAAAAAAGCAACTGCCCCTACTTTGTGTTCAGAAGACCTATATTGCAGTTGTACTTCAAATGTCCTTATTTTTACTCATTTCAATGATTAAGGCCTTCTTCCTGTAACGGGTTTGTTTAGAGCAGACCATTTATGCCTGCACAGATTTCAATTCAAATTAGCAGGAATGTGAGAGAGAAAAATGGGTCTAATTCTTGAAAATCTCTTAACAAGACCAGGAACTTAATTTTCTAAACATCTAACTCTATTTATTACCATCTATTTATACAGATTTTTAAAAAATATATAATGCATGTTTAACAAATGCATTATATATATTTCCAAGGGAATTTTTACACACCAGAAACTTATTCAACAAGTAAACACCAGTTATAAATTTCAATATGGAAAAGCTATGAATTGTTTTCTTATATTGGACTGTAGATTTGTGTAGCACTTTATAAATACACCAGATGACAAAATATGATCCCTGTCAAGGAATTTACAAGCTAGATTGGGGACAAAAAGAGATCAAGATGGACAGCTATAGCAAACTGGAAGACAACTGTAGCAATAGGAAGTGAAACTACCCTTAAAAGTTCATCTTTACAAGAAAGACATATCATGTAAGCGGTTTTGTTTTTACAATGTTTCCTGTTAATTTAAAAACAAAAGTAAATTTAAAAGTTCCTAAACTTAGAGAAAGCAGGATTAAAAGTTTTGTTTTAAAAATGAGCCAAAAAGGGTATTTTTTGAGGAGTAATCTAAATTGGAGTTGGGAAGGAAGGAAGGATTCCTGATTACGTCAGCATGGAGGTAACATGAAAAGGGGAGGGGGGGTGCAAAGGCAGGAAAAATAAGCATACATGAATGAGAATGAAGTGCTGATCTTAAAATTGGGTGTGCACAACAACATTACAATGCAAATGCTGTCATAAACTTAGATTATATCAGTTCTCTGAGATTACTCTATGGAATGGCATGACTTAAACAAGTTAATACAATCAATTTTAGGTTATTCTAGTAATTCCTCAGAACTAGGACTAATCTTTATTCACACAAACTATAAAACCCAGTTTCATTCAGAGATTTCAAGCATGAAAGATTTCCTTCAGACTTGAATAAATTTACTAGTAATGTTTAAAGTTGTTTTCGGTTAGTTAATTAAAAGCTGTATTTACTTCAAACAAACACTCCTGCTCTCTCCCAGGTTCTCTTAGGGAATGCTGGGCTCTAAACAAATTTCCTCTTGCAACCAACTTCTTATGAAAAGCTAGAAAGATGTCAAATTTCAAGACATGTAAGATACCCCATAACAATTTTACCTGGGAAGTCTGAGAACCCATAGTAGCCTTCATCATCCACTCTGCATGCTTCCATAAGGCTACTGAAGAGGGTGCCAATAGGATCCAAAGGGTGCCCAACCCAACCTTCAAGATTAGTTATTGAGGTTACTCCTTTGTGGAGAAGTTCTACAATCAGAAAAATCAGAGCAGGGGGGGAGAGAGAGACAAGTTTAAGCCATGAGTCGTTAACACTAAATAAGTCACTGATTACACAGCACTAGCCAACATTCACAGTGTTCACAGGAGTTACTGTTTAAAAATGGTGAAATACCTTTCATACTGAATATTCACTGTGCCTCATGAATGTAGAAGGAAAAGAAGAAAGGCAATGAGCCAGTTGCTTCAATTTTCCAACCTAACACATGTTCTAGAAGGCAGTTCTGGGTCAAAAAGTCTCTAAAGTTGGAATTTTTGAAGACACTCACTTGAGACCATGACGTTCTCAAAAGGTGCATAAAATGAAAAGTTACAGTAAAAAGATTTTTCTGTAAAATAGCCAACTTAGCTGCCTCACTCAATAGCGCTGCAGTACCATTTTTATCTTTAAAAAATCTGATGCAGCAGAGAGAAGAAAGTGAAATTACTTTAAATTGTGTTCAATCTTCATAAATAAAATATTAGCCTCACTTGCATCTAAATATTTATTGAAATAATAAGCACAGGATGATAGCTCCTTTAACAAAAATAATTAAGCACTTAAGTGCAGTATTTTACACAATAAAAAAATTGCCCTTTAAACTGAACAACGAGTTTATCTGCCTTAAACTTCAGGGTACAAATTCCTTTAAGGCTACTTTATATTATAGTTGTCAACTATCAATAAAATCAGAGCATGGAAAAAGTCACTGTTTAGAACAGTGAACCGAAGGGAGTATAGCCAGGGTAGTGGTTATAGGGCTCCCAAATTCCTTTTACATTCCTCATGACAGTAGTTTCGCTGTGACTGCCATTCAAAATGTATGTTTGTCTTAAAAATTCATGTACCAAGTAGAAAAGACATTCTGTTCACAATGTTGTCTCAAGCTTCAAACTGCATAAATAAGATAACTTGAGTGTAATAATGTGCTTCCCCCCTCC